GTCCGGGGATAAACTTTACGCGTAAGTTTCTATGTTGAGGAATTATGCAAGTGAATACTGTTCGATAGATTTCCTTGATTTTGAATCCAATCACTCCGGAAATATATATACTCCATCTATCAATCTGTCTTTCTTTATACATTTTATGTGCAAGTTTAAGCAATTTCTATTTACAATGTCGTAACTGGTGGCCAGAAAAAGTAACAAAACAATTTTCGTAACAAAAAATTCCGAATATGTAATTTATTCAGAAGAACTGATCTATTAAATTGGATGCTTTTCATACGTTTTCTAGATCCATATACATATTTCTGGGCACACAGATTTTGCTATATTTATATAAACCCCGATATCACAGGTGAGAACGTTCGATTTCCGACCATGGCACCCAAGTTAGAAATTCACCATCGCTTTTTCAGTTGCCCAGACCTTGATTTTATCGGCTTGATGATATAATCTTTGCGTGCGATATTCCTGAAATCCATATCACTGGTTAACCCAACCCTTGTGAGTGTAACTACACAGACAGAGCTATCTGAATGCACTAGGTGGCTATGCTAGCATAAAGCCATAAGTCAACGTGACTGATGATGTAAGCACAATGAATGTGTTCAACATTAGTGATAACACCAAATAATGCGCTTTCTCCAAGAAAATGTAAGTGTCCACTCGACCAGTTGCAGTATAAGCCAGAGTTGGGTTCTATGAGCATTGAAGAAAAACAAATGTGCCTAAGCAAGCGTCCGCAACAGCCAGACTACCCAAACATGTCATTTGATTTAGTGGTGATACCTTGTGCAAAACGAACCACACTTTTTGGAATAGCCAAATACAGTGACCTGATGCAGAATATGCCACAAAGTCCACAATCAACATTAGGCAGGTTTTGAATTCAGAGTTGTCCTTCTCCTAGACTGTTTGCCACACAAGGCTATAAGACTAATTAAGAGACGGGATGAGAATTGAGGGATTCATACCTTTCCCAAGGGTATGGGTACGTAAGTGAATGTAATGAACTCGACTAATATTCGAACTCGGCTCTCCGATTCCTCAAGCCGTTATCCATTACTCCACCGTATACTCTAAATATAAACAGGTCAGGACAGATCACCTTAGAGATTTTTTTTTGTCGAAGTATATTTCAGGAATTTCTACATCATTTACGTCCAGAAAACTGTTGTCGAAATATATAGCAGGGACACTAGACCAAATATGACAGCAATATTAAATTCACAGAACAATGATAGATTAATAACATTCAATAAGAATTGTCTAGTACGACACAGTGAACCAACTTTCCTAGCAGTCGACCTAGCAATGGATTCAATATAACCACTCTACTACATATCAGTGGAAGACGTGCGACCAATAAGGCGCAAAGATTTGGTCTCCTGGATGTTAGCATCAGCCATGCTGATGGGAGACGAACATAGTTCCCTGTGAAGAATAAAAGTAAGCAATTTCATTTCGGAGGTTTTAAAAATTATAAGCCATTTCTTGCCCCAGTTAACAACTGATTAGGAGTCATTTTAGAGATCAGGTGCTAGTTTTACTTTATTGAACTTATTATTAAAACAAGAGTAAATAGTATTGTCATCATCATAAATACCGAATTGGGAACGGATGACATCGGGAAGGTCGTTGAAGATAAGATACGATGTAGGCCCATGTATAGAGCGCCAGTAGACTCCATCGCTAATGTGAGATGATTTAGAATTGTGGCCGTTCAACACGGTTCCAATTACGCGATCTAGATAGATAGATAGATAGATAGATAGATAGATAGATAGATAGATAGATAGATATGAACAAAATGTGATAGCTAGCTAGATATGAACAAAATGAAATACATACATAAACACATACATATAATAAGAAAAAGAGATAGATATGAACAAGATGAAATAGATACATGCATCCATATATATTAAAAAAATGATAGATAGATAGATAGATAGATAGATAGATAGATAGATTCAATAAGTGCACTGTTCGAGTAAAAAAATATTGAACTCAACATCAAGTGAGAATTTTCGTTTGTCCTGACTTCGCTACAGCTCATAGATTCTACCCTCCCACTACATGTTATCTCCTAAGCGATGCTAATTTATATCTTTTTGCTTGCAAATATATTCTTTCTGGTAAGAAAGAATATTCTAGTCATTTTATGGCTATAGATTGATGTCTCTGGTTTAAGACAAATTATCCTTCCCCTAACAATTAACCGGTTACATGTCATCTAGACATGTCAGCGCTGTTTAAGCAGTTACAAGAAAATACAATATTGGAAGAAAGATGATTGTATACAGAATGAGTAATTCTCATGAAATATAGTCTTTTTTACTTGTAAATAATAAAACAGTTCACGACAGAAACTCTATAGAAACTATAAACATCAGAATAATGGCGAGTAATTGAATGAGAAAATGAAGAAAGACTATGGTGCGTTTCTTCTGAGGAATACATTTCAATGGATGAAAGCGCGTCCCATAGAATTTTCCCATTCTGTCATAAAAAAAATGTAACGTGTTTAACAGCAAAATTCTCCAAATCGTGTAGCGCCAAAATTATCGCTTTGCTAGATACAGCTTTGAAGCATTGTATCTTAGAAATGATTAAAGATATGTTACTGGAATTCTCCGATGTTTTTTATAACACTGTTGAACTCTACGTTGAGCAATAAGAATGTATAATTACTGTCCAAATTTAACAGAAGAATCGTGATGAAATCGATCATAAACAAAAATGATAGATTCATCATTAATTAATCATAGCTATGGATCGGAAGCTCATGAAGGATTATAAATTTCAAATATATATATATATATATATATATATATATATATATATATATATATATTTTCAGGATCATTTTCCAACTCATTCAAGATGATATTTGCCCTCTCTAACTTTCTGACTTTCTGTCCAGGATAAACAAGATGCCTCACACGTTTCACGTACGATTTCAAGTCTTATTGCTCTTTAGACTGCCATAGCTGAAACCTCTCTTTCTCGTACCAAATCTCTTATGGATTGAGTTGGATCTTTTCTAATTGATCTCTTTAGCTCTAAACTGAAATGATCCCTCTTTCTGTTGTGACCACCTGATCCAGTTTTCCTCTCTACTGTTCCCTCTTTTTTAAACCTATTAACCATTCTCTTGGTGGTTCTTGAATGGACTTTGAAGATGGAAGCCAGTGTATGAATGTTCGTACCATTACTGAAGGACTTAATGATCTTTTTCCTCACGCCATTACTCATTTGGGAAGACAGTGGGTCTGACTCAAGACAATTTTAACCTGCTCTATTTTTAGCTGAATAACTCAAAGGGTTTTTCAGTGATTCTTACGGTAAATAGTATGAAGATGTTGGATTAGTGTTTTTTTGTTTTTTTATATATTAAACATTTTGTGGGATGGCCAAATTTGCTGTTATACGATTTGAACAATTTTGCTGTTACATGATTGGAACAATTTTGCTGTTACATGATTTGGACAATTTTGCTGTTACATGATTTGGACAATTTTCATGTTACATGATTTGAACAATTTTGCTCTTACATGATTTGGACAGTTTTCATGTTACATGATTTGGACAATTTTGCTGTTACATGATTTGGACAATTTTGCTGTTACGTGATTTGGACAATTTTGCTCTTACATAATTTGGACAGTTTTCATGTTACATGATTTGGACAATTTTGCTGTTACATGATTTGGACAATTTTCATGTTACATTCGGTGTGTGTCGGAGTTAGCCAAAGGCTTTCCTAATTGTCATAAAATAAGACTAAAAACGAAATAAAAGGTATCCTTTTTATATCCTAATCGGTTATTATATCGTTGAAGCAACAAACTGATACATTTGTATATATTGTTCATTTGCTGCAATGCTAAACTCACAAGCTATTAACATTTAGATCATATTTCTCTCTCGACTTTATAATAATTCCATCTCGCTGTTCATGTCATCTACTAAATATTTCTATTCGGCTTCCATCAAAAAATGAATACATTGTGATTGAACGATAACCAGAATTGATAAGGATTTCCATTTTAAGATAACAAGAAAATACACAGATCTTAATAATCGTAAATAAATGATTCTTTCATATATATATATATATGTGTGTATATATATATATATATATATATATATATATATATATATATATATATATATATATATATAAAGATTAACTACATGGAACTGTTTCTTCTGCAAAAATCCTATCTACAATTCGCTCTATACACCATTTAAATCTGAGGCAAATCAATCTTTTTTTTTTTGTTTTTTTTACAGAGTCTGTCTATATTTCTGAGATGAGGTATTATGTACAGTATTTACATTAGTCTGACTATTGTCCTCATCTTTGTCGCCATATTTGTCACAACTTTTCGGACGTTGTACGCTCCGGCCTTCTTCAGGTGGTTGGAATTTCGATCACTGGGGTAGACTGTTCTAGTTCCACGTGCCATGTTTGATGGATGTCAGTTATCAGTTATCTCCTGCTAATTTTTCTCTCTGAAAGTTCTCCACTGCCTTAACCAGGTATTGAACTCACCTTCTTTGTGTCTGTCACTTGATCTAACCAACGCCTTTATCCACTGTGCCATGTGTCCTTGGCGATCACTGTGTCATGTGTCCTCAAGGACACATTGCACAGTGATCGAAATAAAGGGTTCAGTTCGAAATTCCAACCACCTGAAGAAGGCCGGAGTGTACAGCGGCCAAAAGGTTGTGACAAATATGGCGACAAAGATGAGGACAATAGTCCGATTAATGTAAATACTGTTTTTTTTTACATTTC